GAGGCCCTGAGTGTGTGTTTGAGTCTTGTTAATTGAAAGCTTTTCCTTTGGGGACCCCCAAATGTCAGTATCTGTGGCTCTTTTTTCTGGCATGGTTCATTTCTTCCTGAGAAGTGCCCTTTATTCTTTGCTAAAAGTAGAACTTGGTGGCAAAGTTCTGTGTCTGAGCAGAAGCAGCAGAAAAAGCCTCATTTTTGGTTTCAGACTTAATTCCTCTTTTTTCAGTCAGATATCTTACTCTCACTCTGATCTATGCCTCATGTTGCCACATCTAGAACTCCTTTGGTTTGCTTTCTCCAGAGGTGACATTTTCTGTTTCCTGTAGAGGTAAAAGCAGTAGCCTGATTATGTCAGGTGGAGTGGGGACGTGGGGATCTGTCCACTTATTAAACAGATTTTCAAACAAATCTCCGTTTTCAGCATTACACTCCTCCCACCTCCACTCTAACTTCCCTCTGCACTTTACCTACTTCTAGTTCGTGAGTCTTTCCAGGGCTCTTCAGGGTGACCTGCCTTGCTTCTCCTTCTTTAACCACTTAGGCTTGACTTTCCTTGAGGCTGCTAAGTCCTTCACCACCCTCAATCCATTTTCAATTTTCATGTATTGTGGTTTGGGGTGACTACCAGTTCAAATACCAGTTCAATAAACATGAAATCTGTATTTTTCTTTTTCCTCCTTGTTATTTTTGAGAGAACTGGTATGGGGAAGATCTCAGCTATCTTGAATTGAAAAGTCTCCACTGTTTTTGTTTTTAGTTTTTCAAGTGCCTTGAAGTCTTTACTGCCTTTGGGCTTTTGCACGTGGTGTTCTAGCTCCCTGAGACATTCTTTTCCCTTCCTTCCTATTCCCTCTTGGCCAATTCCAAGTCATCTTTTAGGTCCCCTCTTAAACATCATTCCTAGATGAGTCCCGTCTGACCACCCAGACTAGGTTAGGCTCACTCCCTATAATATATTCTCATAACACCTACCATGATTCTAATGAAGTATATGTGTCTGCCTCCCCTGCTAGAAGGGGGCCATTTCTGTCTTGCTGACTGCTATATCCCCAGTGTGTAGTGCAATGCCTAGTTTAGTAGGGGATATATATAAAATATATAAAATTTTATTTTTTTGTATTTATATTTAATATCTATTTTTTTTACGATTTTTTTTTTTAATTTGCCAGAGAGAGAGAGAGAGCATGAGCAGGGGGAGCAGCAGGCAGAGGGGGAAGCAGGCTCCCCGCCGAGCAGGAAGCCTGATGTGGGGCTCGATCCCAGTTCCCTGAGATCATGACCTGAGCCGAAGGCAGACGCTTAACTGAGCCACCCAGGCACCCCTAAATATGTATTTTTCATTGTTGATCAACATATATTACTCATTATAAAGATTTGTAGTTAGGGGCACCAGGCTGGCTCAGTCTGTAGAGCATGTGACTCTTGATTTTGATTTTACTTACTTTGATTTTGATTTTGGAGTTTTGAGTTCAGTCAAGCTCCATGTTGAATATAGAGATTACTTAAAAAAAAGTAGTTGGATTTACAGTTGCTACCACCAATAAGTAGTTATTTAGAGTTTCACGATCTTAGTTATTATGATTGTCTAGTTATTATTATAGAAACACTATCAAATGAACTCTTGTCCATCTCTAAACTTAATTTACATGAACACTTTTAAAATTATAATGTACTGATAGTAATATGCACTCAGATCAGCATAGTGTATAAATTTTCTATTTCTGCTGCTATAAATTACCAGAGACTGAGTGACAAAAACAACACAAATTTATTATCTTACAGTTCTGGAGGTCTGAAGTCTAAAACGGGTTGGTAAAGGGCGCCTGGGTGGCTCAGTTGGTTGTGACTGCCTTTGGCTCAGGTCATGATCCTGGAGTCCCGGGATCGAGTCCCGCATCGGGCTCCCTGCTCAGCGAGGAGCCTGCTTCTCCCTCTGGCCCTCCCCCGTCTCATGTACTCTCTCTCTCTCTCTCTCTCTCATTCTCACTCTCTCAAAATAAATAAATAAATCTTTTAAAAAAATGAAATAAAATGGGTTGGTAAGGCTGCCTTCCTTCTGGAGGCTTGAGGAGAGAATCCGTTTCCTTGCTTCCAGTTGTTTTTAGCTTCCAGAGGCTGTATTTCTTGGTTCATAGAATCTTTCTCATGTCACTCTGACCTCTGCTTCCACTGTCATACCTCCTTTGCTGACTCTGACCTTTCTGCCTCCTCTTATAAAGACCCATATGATTAAGTTGTGCCCAGATAACTCAGGATGATTAGAAATTTCTCAATAGCTTTAACTTGACCACATCAGCAAAACGCATTTTGCTACATAAGGTGAAATATCCCCAGGTTCTGGGGGTTAGGATGTGAATATCTGAACTGTTATTCAGCCTACCACACATAGACAGCAAAATGTAAATCCACACATGAATTAGTTTCTTCAAGAAATGATAAAAACTTCACTCATATATACTTTAAACTTTGTATCAGAACAACTTCCAAAGTAGATAACATAATTTATTAGGTGAAAAATATTATAAATATATATATTGAAATAATAATACAATAAGCCAATGATTATTAAATAGACAACATACATCATCAGCTCAGTAGCTGCCTCACTTCCATGTGCATATCCATTATCATGCTTTCATGAATCCTGGGATTTGCTGGTGTTTTCAGGTAGGCACACCATTTCCTAAAGGCAATTATCTAATTATACAAACAACTATGTAAAAGAGCATAGTGCTTTCCTTACATATATTTAAAAATAAATTTTAGATGGAAAACTATTAGCATTGATTATTTTTCAATAAATACCTCTTAACATCCTGCAGAATTGTTTGGGAAAAATTATAATAAAGACCTATTTTGGGGGCCGCCTGGGTGGCTCAGTCGGTTAAGTGTATGCTTTTGGCTCAGGTCATGATCCCAGGGTCCAGGATCGAGCCCCCACATTGGGCTCCCTGCTCCGAGGGGAGTCGGTTTCTCCCTCTCCCACTGCCTGTTGCTGCCCCTGCTTGTGCTCTCTCTCTGTCAAATAAATAAATAAAAAATCTTTAAAAAAAGCACACCAATTTGGGGAAAACCAATTCCAACATTCTCGGTTGTTTATTTTGAAAGACCATGGTTAGATATTTTATTCTCAGTTATCTAGCAATGTCATGTGAATACATAGTACAAAGTGACAATTTCAGAATGGGCTGATGGGTAAGACTATCAGCTGGCTTTTTCAGATAAGAACCTCACTCTGGGTGTGGCTGGGTGGCTCAGTTGGTTAAGCATCTGCCTTCAGCTCAGGTTGTGATCCCAGAGTCCTGGGATCGAGGCCCATTTTGGGCTCTCTGCTAGGCAGGGAGCCTGCTTCTCCCTCTCCCACTGCCCCTCCTGCCCCATGCTCTCTATTTTTCTCAAATAAAAAAATAAAATCTTTAAAAAAAAGAACCTCACTCTGTAACTGTATCTCAACTGTCGACTTTGACAAATTTAGTAATGTAATAATTCTATTCAGGGCCAGTTTGGCTGTGATGCATTAGCTGGAGAGCGTGTCCTTTTTCCAAAGGAAAGTTTACTTGAGAAATCAAATTAGGATCAGAAGGTTGTCTGATGCATATAGTTAAAATGCCAAGCTGTTAAGATAGGTGAAGGGGATTAAGAAGCACAAACTTTCAGTTATAAAATAAAGAAGTCACAGGGATTAAAAAAAAAAGAACTGTCAAGCTGCCCAAGGTGCCAAAAATGCCCAGACACCCACAACCCTTCAACCCACAGCACCCTCTTCCCTAATCTGGCCCAGATTATAAAAATCAAAATATTCAAGTAGTATTCTGCTCTGGAAAATGTAGTGACTTTGAAAAATAATGAGTCAGAATTCTACTTGCTAATTCCCACCCCCTCTTGGTTTGCATAGCTCAGATAACTGCTTATTGCTTTTCTCTCAGTCATTTCTTTTTAGTTCTTGGCTTCTTTGTCTAAAGCTGCAATGCAGCCACTAGCCACATGTAGCTACTGAGCACCGGAAATGTGGCTAGTCCAAACTGAGATGTATTGTTAAGTGTAAAATACATACTGGATTTTGAAGACGTACATTAACAAGAATCTAAGATATTTCATTAATAATTTTTTATATTGATTACCTGTTGGAATATTTGGATTTCTTTTGGGATATGTTTGGGTAAATAAAACATCATTAAAATTAATTTTACATGTTTCTTTTTACTTGTTTAGTGTAGCTGCTAGAAAACTTAAAATTACATATGTGATTCACATATTTTTATTGGATAGCATTGATCTAAGGCTCCTGAAGTCCTCTCCTGTTACTTTCTTTAGTTGTTCTTTATTGTCTCTGACTTCTAACCATTCCTTCCCTTTCCATTAACTGCTTAGATTTAGAAGGTAAACTAGAAAGTGAAACTGTGGCCAACCTTTAAGTCAAGAGAATTAAGTGCATGGGTAAACAACGAAAGTCTTAGTTCAATTCTTCAATGTATTGGTTTGGTGCTGCAGTATTAGAAAAAAGGGGGGGGGGGGGAAGAATAGTCTTCATTAGAGTCTGTAGAGACGGACTATATGTATATGGAGAATTAAAGAGAGAATACAAAATCATATACACGCAAGGAAGTAGGACAAAAATTATTTCATACTCAACCGTCCCCATCTCTAGGTTTTTAATCCATTTTCTTTTGGCTATGCTAATTCTTTTGTGTTTTTCTATGCATACTTATTTAGACTGCTCTCTTAGTAGAATGCGGCTATTGAAAAGATGAAGAAAAACTGCCTGGAGATGAGGATGTGGGGTGGTGTTGCAGATCTAAAGACCAACAATATGGAAAGATGTTTATCTAAGTTGAAAAAGAACTTAATTACCCTGTTCCATTTTCCACTCAAAACCATAACCTTTAGATATATAGAATAAAGGCTTGCTTGTATTGTTAGAACACCAATATTCATCAAACATACTGAATATATACTGATGGGGAAATTCTCTGAAGATATATTTTTCAACAGGGAAAAAACATGAAGAAAAAACATGATACCATTGTTTGTGAACCTAAAGAACTTCTGAATCCCTCTCCCAAAGTAACAAATTGTTGCAAATCCCTGTGGGTGAAATACAGTTTTCAGAGGGAGTACATGACCCGACTTGTCAGCTCCCAGCCAGTTTCAGCCATGTCAAGGAACCCAGGTAAGATATTATTTGTGTTAAGCTAGGATAAATATTCTACTTAGCATGTATTTTTCTTGGTATCGAGGACATAAAATTGGGCCTTAAATAGATTATTTAAACATTAACTGTAGGAAGATAGTGGTAAACCTATTCATCAATGTTCTGAGGTGGTAAAAATCTAAAACTGACTTTGCCTCATAAATCTCTTAGTGTCTGTTAGCTCATGAAGATGGTCTCAGATTAACTAAAATAGATCAAATTTGTCTTTTAATACAGATTTGTCTTTGACTTGACCTGACAATGTCTACATTGTTAAGTAGAGAAAATTCAGTTTAGGTTCCTCTTTGATTTTGCCAATATGGGAAAGAACAAGAAGGAAATACAAACTTGAATTTTTGTTTTGCAAAAATTGCATGATTCCTAAATGCCCCTGAATGTTGGGGGAAAGTTTTTTTTTTTAAAGATTTTATTTATTTATTTGAGAGAGAATGAGAGCATGAGAGGGAAGAGGGTCAGAGGGAGAAGCAGACTCCCTGCCGAGCAGGGAGCCCGACATGGGACTCAATCCTGAGACTCCAGGATCATGACCTGAGCTGAAGGCAGTCGCTTAACCAACAGAGCCACCCAGGCGCCCTGGAATGTTGGAAAATTAAAGCCTCGTGTTTTGAAGGGCATTAGGGTATTGGGGTTAAAGGAGTTAAATTTATGGGGGTTTAGACTTTTAGGTTAAGAATATGCTAGATACCTGAAAGGAATAATTAAAGCTAATCTCAGACTGTTCTCCAGTTTTAAAAGAACTACGTGCCACTGAGAAAGTGGAAATTTCAGGCATCCTGACAGTCTCTCTTGCCACATATCAAATAAGATATCTGTTTTCCAGAAATAACTGAATTGACTAAAATACTGAATTTTGATCTGTGCAGGTGTCAACAATGATTTCTCAAAGCCTGAGACTTTTGTCACCTATGAATACCTCCTAGCACATATATTTTGTTTTTTAAAGAGTTTATTTATTTGGGAGAGAGAATGAGAGAGAGAGAGCACATGAGAGGAGGGAGGGTCCGAGGGAGAAGTAGACTCCCTGCCGAGCAGGGAGCCCGATACGGGACCTGATCCTGGGACTCCAGGACCATGACCTGAGCTGAGATGTGATCCGTACACCATAAAGTTCAACCTTTTAAAGGGCAAAATCCAAAGGTTTTTAGCGTATTCATAAAGTCGTGCGATCGTTATCACTATTCTGGAACTTCTGTTTTATTGTAAACTTTTTCCAGTTTGTTTCCACACTCAGCTATTACCATTTGAGCCTCACAGAGTCCTCCTCAAGCACCTTCTGAGGTGCCCTGTGGGCGGTTGCCACATTTAAACCAAATTACAGTTTCACTTCAAAAGCAGAAGCGGGGTGAAGAATAAAGCTCCTACGTTTGAGTTATAGAGTAACAGCCAACAACCTAATTTACGCTTGTTTTCCCGCCTAGAACTCTGGTTTTACTCTGTATGTAAAATCTTACTTGTGACGGGTATTTCAGTCTGGTGGGCCACCGGCGTGCGTTCAGGGACCGCCAAACAATTAGAAACAAGGGATCCGTCAGCGGGAGGTGGTAGCAGACACCAGCCTCCTACCGCCCTCCCATTCTTTCCCCGGCCCAGGAGGGAGCGGCGCGTTTCTCCCCTCATATTTTAGGGCATTTACAGGTGTGCAGACTGAAGGGGGCCGTGCGAGAGGGCCCTGGAGGTGTCAGGACGGCGTCAGGAACGCCAAGCCGCAGGGTAACGGGAGGCGCCGAGCACTGGATTGGGGTGCCGGGTCCCCCGAGCTAGGAGCGAGCCAGGCGCGTCACCGCCCGCGCGGGAGACCGCTTCTGGCCGCCGGGAGCGCCGGGCGCGCCCCTCCCGGGCCACAGCGGGCCCACGTGACCTCTGCCGCCAAAACCGCGGGGCGGAGCGCGCGCCTTCCCGCCGGAGAGCCGGCGGCGGCGGCACAGCGGCTTGCAGGGCCCGCGAAGGTCGCGGGAGGTCGCTCGGAGGACCTGCGGATGCTCTCTGGCTGGGAACCTTAAAGAAAAAAAGGAAGGGGGGGGGAAAAAGGTACGCCTGGGGGGCTCAGTCGATGAAGCGTCTGCTTTCAGCTCAGGTCATGATCCCAGGGTCCTGGAATCGAGTCCCACATGGGGCTCCCCGCTCAGTGGGGAGCCTGCTTCTCCCTCTGCCCCTTCCCCTGCCTGTGTGTGCATGCTCTCTCTCTCTCTCTCTGACAAATAAATAAAATGTTTTTAAAAAGAAGCCTGAAGTACTGCTCCACGTAAAACTCCTACTGAGGAAGCTGATTACTGAGAGGTCCCCTTGTTCCCTCTTTGGCTTTTGGATACAGATTGAAAATGGAAATCACCAGTCATTATTCAGTGACTCGCTGAAGCCAAAATGTGTCTCGGTTCCTTTGGGGAAATAGACACGTTTGAACGTATAACTCTGGAGAAAGAAAACAATTTTTGTAAGGGGAACTTGAAGCCGCCTTTTCTTAGAAAAGTTGAGGGGATGCGTAGGATTTTGGGAAGTCCAGAGAAACCATCCTGATGCGTTGTTTAAGGGAAATTAGAAACTCCTGGGAAAACAAAACTTAGTAAGAGCAAAAAGAGGGCTTTTCCACTTCTAGAAATGTAATAATTACTGGTAGGAAAGGGCAGAATTCCTTATATGTGTGTGTGTGTATATGTATGCTTGTAGGTGTATAAGTAGTTTAAATGGGGTATATTGATTGTAGAAGTAGAGAGTCCAGTTATTCAGCCTCTTTCTCCCTTTGAGAGTGCTTGGATGCTCATTTTTGCCTCTCTCTCTTTTCTTCTAAGTCTCATCAACTCTCCCCCTCTTCCTCTAGATGGACATATTTTTTACTCATTCAAAAAACAAAACAAAACAAAAACACAAGGGCCTACTAAATTCCAAACACTGTGCAAGATACTGGGGTGACAGTGGTGAGCAAAAACATTAACAGTCCCTTCTGACTGAAGCATACAGTCTGGTAAAGGAGGCAGATAGTAGTTGATTAAACATACTAATGTTAAACATAATGTGATAAGTGCTAAGAAGAGGTCCAGGTGCTATAATGGGGCTTTGACCTAGCAGGGAGGTTAGAGAAGACTTCCCTCAAGGTGTAACCCTGGACTGAGACCTGAAGGAGTTAATGACAGTGGGAGTTGCAGGCAGAGGGAGCCGATTTTTCAAGGGAGAGCTGATAGCCTCTCCTCTTCCAGTGACTGTCCATCTCACTCATTTCCACTATATATAAATTAATCTTGCCTCTAGTTATCAAAGACACTTCTTTTTTCTTTCAATTGTTAAGTTCTTAGGGAGTAACTCATAACTAATAATTATTGTTATCGACAATGTATGTACAATAGGTAAGTATGCAATACACACATCTAATATACATTATCATCTCTTGTTTTATATAATAAAAGCATGCAAAGATTTTTTTTAAAGATTCCATTTATTTGAGAGAGAAAGCGAGAGACAGAGCACAAGCAGAGGGGGAGGAGCAGAGGGAGAGGAAGCAGACTCCCGGATGAGCAGGGAGCCCACGATGGGGCTCAATTCCAGGACCCCGGGATCATGACCTGAGATGAAGGCAGGCGCTCAACTGACTGAGCCACCCAGGCGTCCCAAAACATTCAATGATTATAACAAAATTTAGAGTATGATGTATCTCAATAGAACTAAAAGCACTATAGGTATTCACAGTAGTGAGCGATCACATTATTTTGGAAGATTCAAAAAAGCCATATTGAGAAAGTAATTTTTGAGATGTGATTCAAAGGTAAAATTTGGTCAAACAGAGTAAGAAGGCTGGACAGAGAAGTCGAGATATATTCTAAGAGCCTTGAAAAGCACTCCAAAGAGTTTATAGAAACTAAATAGAAATGTTTTATTTCACTTTTAAGGACTTTCCTGAGGTATTTTTTTCTTTTCCAACGTTTACTTTGGAAAATTTAAAATCTACAAAAAAGTTGCACAAATAAGACTATGGTTAGTTATATACCCTTTGCACGAATTTACCATTTTTTGGTGGGGGGGGCACATTTGCTTTATCTTTTTATCTCTCTCTCTACATTCATATACACACATACTCACGAATGCAAGTACAGATGTTTTTCTTTGCTACAAAAGAAGTTGTAAGATAAAGCTGTAGATCTACTAACTTCATCTCTAAATAATTCTATCTCCAAATAATTTGTCTCCTAAGAACAAAGATTTTTCTGTATAACCACAATACAATATGACACTCATGAGATACATTTTTTTATTTTTATTTTTTAAAGATTTTATTTATTTATTTGACAGAGAAAGACACAGCGAAGGAGGGAACACAAGCAGGGGGAGTGGGAGAGGGAGAAGCAGGCTTCTCACGGAGCAGGGAGCCCGATGCGGAGCCCGATGCAGGGCTCGATCCCAGGACCCTGGGATCATGACCTGAGCTGAAGGCAGACGCTTAACGACTGAGCCACCCAGGCGCCCCTCAAAACTTAACTTAAAAAGTATCTCATGAGTGGGGCGCCTGGGATCCAGCCCCGCATTGGGCTCCCTGCTCCGCGGGAAGCCTGCTTCTCCCTCTCCCACTCCCTCTGCTTGTGTTCCCTCTCTCGCTGTGTCTCTCTGTCAAATAAATA